TTCAGTATAACAGGCTAGATTGGCGGAAGAGGCGAAGGTATGAGTACGATGCTCGCTGTCGAATAAGAATGGAACACGCTTCTAAACTTCAGAAAGAAGGAGGTATTTTCAAGTTAAATAGTTGATCACGCGTCTAGAAGTTTGTCCAATGGAAGAACATAATTTAGTAGTGGAGGAGCCGCTTTTTGACAGTGGAAATCCATCAAATGAAGGTGAGGGTTTTTTTTTCGTTAGCGCAGAGACAATATAAATAATGATTTTAGCTCTTAACGAAAGAATAAGTGCAAATGCTTGCCAAATGCCTCCTTGTGAATATGTGTTTAAAGATCAGCATTCCTTGCAAGAATTTGAGAGGTATATCGTTTCGCTATCACCGCTACATTTGATTTGAATTAGCTTAGCGTTTTTACTATCTATCTACAGATATGATGCGTTCAAATCTCGGAAAATTCACTGTCCTCTATGCCCAGTTGGTCCAGTGCGTTTGACCAATGCTGTATATTATCAGGTCTAATTTCTGAAACTTTGGTATTAGTCGACGTACTTGGCTCGTCGTCGGGTCAACAGCACTCTTGTTTTTAGGGCCACATGACAACGCATCACTCGTGTGCGCACTTGTTCGCTTGCCATTTTTGTGGACTATTATTTCCTTCGCTTGAAGCGCTAAAAGCTCATGATGGATGTGCAGAATTTGCTGCTGCCCTCGTGCAACGAATAAATGCATTCGGTGAAGTAGAAGTCGGTATATTGGTCAATTAAACCCAGCCACCTCACATGCTTTAATATTCAGTGTTGCATGAACTTTGCAACGTTAGTTATGGTTTGCACCGACTGCGGTTCGCAACTGCTCATTCGTTCCTCTTTTATCGGAGAGTCTTCCATTTCTCACTGGAATGACATTGTCAACTTTCATGTAAGGATACTACTATGTTATCGAGTTATCTCTCCTTTTATTATCATCATCTGTAGATGCGACATAATGCTGAAAAACTTGTTCCGCTGGTCATATATTCCCATGAAGATTTCAATTGCAAGATGCGTCTACGATTACAAGTCGTCTCACCCTTGATCAAAGGTTCTTATTTTCTTCCGATTTTTGCCCTTTTTCCCTAGCAACAGCGTTAATTTTAGATATCCAGATCGAATGCCCTTATTGCGAAAAGTGCGACTTTGATAATGTGGAGATGTTAGAATCACATTTTCTTTCACACAAAGAGAGCGTTAAAAAAGTTTGCCCTGAATGCTCTAATGAGTTCAGTCAAGAGGCATTTTTTAGGTTTGTTTCTTTGTCCCTAGTTTTATGACTGTTTTTCTCATCAGGTTGGGTTATGTTCTCGATCCTTAGTTTTCTCCCTTTTTCTACTTATTCAAGTGTTACTGCAAACTGCCTTTCAAACGACCCCATTGTTGAAGCCTGAAGATCTTCTTCTCAATTTTTGAAACATTATTATGTTATTTTTTTCGCTGTGTCGAATTTATCGCATAATGTTCATTAGCCATAGTAGGCATGAATTTGCATTGCTTTACGCTGATTTAAGGTCTCTTATAACGTTTGCTAATGAGTTCTACCTAAACTGCAAATCATATATCTACAACAAACATCTTTGTTACCATCTTAAGGTGGAAGCCACTCTAATCATCTCAGTTGTTAATTTCTTTCATGCTATGCTGTCAACAATAGAAGATGCTATTGTTTTAGGGAACATCTTTTATCTCATTTGGGTACTAAAGCTTGCTATTTGGCTCTGTACCTATCTCGCATCTGCACCTTTATCACGGTACTGCTTTTTACATCTAATTTATATTGCTTTATATGACATTGATTTTTAGGGGGGAGTCCCAAGTTGCGGACCAAATCTTGCGAAAGGGAGCGAGCTTATCTACGGCGGTGTCTCAACAGCTATCTTCAACTCCAAATTGCGGCTGGTTAGGATTTTTTTGCTTCGATTCTGTTCCTATTCAGATTTCGTTGATCAGTTCTTTTAATCCTTTCTAGCAATTTGTTGATCCATACGAATCCATGACGGTTAAGAAGAAATCAAACAAACGAAGTCGTAAACGTAGGGCTGGCCCTGCATGCGAGGAAGTAGATGAAATGGAAGAGGACCGTTTTTCCGTAGACGAAGTAGCGACAAAGTTGCAAAAACTTCTTGTATGTTTCTTCTAAAAAAACGTTTTGCTGGAGTCACTTCATAGCAATAGTTACGGTTGCACGTGCTATTTTCGCGCAACTTTTTCATTATCATTCGATGACTCACGTTATATTCAAATTACGTTGCTATTGGTGTAATCGAGAAGAATCTTATCACCAGAACGATTTAGTTGCTAAATATGGGTTCGCCAAAAGTTATTCTGTTTTCACGCTCAAAGATTCTAGGGTTATTCTTTTGACTCCGAGAACGTGCTACGAATCAACAGCTTCTTCTATACTGCCATCAACTCTAAGGACGAAACGGTAACATTCAAAATTGATATCATGTTTACCAACTGTACAAAGTTATTTTTTGTTAAGGAAGAGTTGTCAGCAGCATATAATGCGTCCAATATTGATTTGGAGTATCTCGTCGAAGACCCACTCTTTGGGAACGGGACTAAATTAGCAGACGATGTTTCGAAAAAATTCATGAAATACTGTAGACTCGCAGGTGGAAAATCTCTGTCAAAAAAACACAATCCCGCACATAGCGGTCTTTCTGCAAAGTACGTTGAAATTTGTTTGTTTGTCTGCAAAAAAATGAATTCTGATTTTTTCTAGAATTTTCATGTGCCGCCGATGTCATTGTATATGCACCGGTATAGAAGATACATATTCTCATCTTGCTCTCTGTTGTCCAGAGCTGCGCCGTGAAGAGAATAGCGTAGAACCCTTTGATCTCTCAAATGGATTACTGGTTTGTTCACTTGGTCATTTTTACAGTATCAACAAGTATAAATTTTTTTAAGAGCACGTTTTTTAATACTCGTTAGACAATATCCTTGCAGTTATGGGTGCAACGAAACTATATATTAAGCAACTCAAAGAATATTTCAATTCGAAATACTACACATGTGTCATAAAATTTATCTTCCTAATTTAACCCTATCCTGCCTTGATTAATGTATGGTAATTAAAATTTATAACAAGGCTTGATTTGTTTTATCAGCTTTGTTAGTTGTTCAAGATCGTATCTTTTACTAGTTTCTAGCAACATTCATATAAGATGGGCCGACCATGGTAGTAGCATTACCCTGCAAGTACTAACTTATAAATCAAGGAGCAACTTCACAAGACACACTATTGACGTTTAGGTATTTTGTGTATATGCGGGTGGTGGAGTACCGAACACACGTATCACTTGTTGGGAGTGTTCGTCCAGTGTCTGTTCTGTATTCGGTTTGCGCGTACATATGATCTATGTGCACGGGATGTTTTTGAAAGTTGAGGATGAATCTGATATGACTCCAGGTGGTTTTAAGATGTTTTTGTTTGTCACCTGTTACATCTAGTGTTTAGATGAAGCGGAAAAGTTCACTTCAACAACGCGAGCAATCAACAAGGCCATAGGTCTCACAGAAAATGGCGGGCTTCCTGTGAATTTGGAAGAAAGAAAAAAGGAGGCTCTGAAAGCAAAAATGAAATTGAGTCAGGTTAGCCGTCATATTTGATCTAGATGTGACGTGTTTCTTCAACTATCGTTTGATTTCAGAACGCCGAGGCCAACAAGTCTTCTTGCATCCAATCCAATGTAGATACTTCTTTATGTGCCTTTTCTCCAAGTTTGAGCAAGTCTCCGAGCAAACCAGCGACCTCTATAGCGACGGCAACTTCTCAATCAATTCCCCCTCTAGTGATTCTCGATGACGCTCCAACTTCTTCGGTCCAAATAATTGACCATACAGAACCTCAGACTATCGAAATAGTTAATAACCAAATGCAACCGTCCCCGAGCCAGATAAATGGTTCAACCGTAAGGACTTTGGAAATGTTCGAGACCGAACATTCGGAAAAAACTATAGAAAGCCCTTCTATGGCAAACAGCGTCGAAATTGTCGCTCTAGAAAGTGTCAATATTGACGAGTTTTCTTTATGTTCAACAGATGCCTTCAGCCAAGGTGATATATGAAGTCTTTTTGAAATTGAGCAATTTTTCCATCACAGAAAAGATTTTGCTTTTTTCAGAAGAAATCAAACATAAATCAGAATTCACTCCTCTAGAGGAGTTGTCTCAATCGCAGGAACAAGGTAAATTAGTTTTTCTGTAATCGAAGATCAATTTTCGATCAATTTTTTGCAACATACTTTTGTTCTTGTGATTCATGGGATGACACTTTGTATCATTCCTTTCTTGGTTGCAGTCTCATTATGTCGTTAAATTTCAGATGATCTTCAAAATGCCGCTATTGCAAATACTACGCATAACGAATCGAGTGTATGAAATTTTCTGTCTTTCTTTTTTCTCAGAATCAAGCGCACATTTACCAAAGTCTTTAGATACGATTTGCACTTTTAGCCATTTTGCTTATAGGAAACTCCGGAGTGCGAATTTTGCGGCCTTGGGTTGCGGTCTCAGGCTGCGTTGACAAGACACTATAAGTTACATTCGTGAGTCTTCATAAGTATTCTTCGAATTGTATTTGGACTTTTCTGGGACATTTAGAGAGATAACGGACACATGCTTTCTTTGCGATCCGCCGCAAATTTCCATATTTACGCCAGAACTCTACCTGGAACATATTCAGACTAAACATACAACTCAACCAAGCTCAAGTAAAGAGGTACGCTTATTATTCCACCTATCTAAAATGGCTCCAAATCTGTTAAAGTTAGAAAGAATGGTTTGCTTTGCTTTTTAGCAAATAGAATCTTAGTAGCGAAGCAGTCTAGAC